GCATAAGTATTTACAATTGTTATATCTTCTTCTTGGATCGATCCCTTAATCATTATGTAGTGTCCTTCTTTGTCTCTTCTGATAGTCCTTATTTTAAAGTCTATTTTGTCTGATATGAGAATTGCTACTCCAGCTTTCTTTTGGTTTCCATTTGCATGGAATATCTTTTTCCATCCCCTTACTTTCAGTCTGTATGTGTCTCTAGGTCTGAAGTGGGTCTCTTGTAGACAGCATATATATGGGTCTTGTTTTTGTATCCATTCAGCCAATCTGTGTCTTTTGGTGGGAGCATTTAGTCCATTTACATTTAAGGTAATTATCGATATGTATGTTCCTATTCCCATTTTCTAAATTGTTTTGGGTTCGTTATTATAGGACTTTTCCTTCTCTTGTGTTTTTGTCTAGAGAAGTTCCTTTAGCAGTTGTAGCAAAGCTTGTTTGGTGGTGCTGAACTCTCTCAGCTTTTGGTTGTCTGTAAAGGTTTTAATTTCTCCATCAAATCTGAATGAGATCCTTGCTGGGTAGAGTAATCTTGGTTGCAGGTTTTTCTCCTTCATCACTTTCAATATGTCCTGCCAGTCCCTTCTGGCTTGCAGAGTTTCTGCTGAAAGATCAGCTGTTAACCTTATGGGGATTCCCTCGTGTGTTATTTGTTGTTTTTCCCTTGCTGCTTTCAATATGTTTTCTTTGTATTTAATTTTTGACAGTTTGATTAATACGTGTCTTGGCGTATTTCTCCTTGGATTTATCCTGTATGGTGCTTCCTGGACTTGATTAACTATTTCCTTTCCCATATTAGGGAAGTTTTCAACTATAATCTCTTCAAATATTTTCTCAGTCCCTTTCTTTTTCTCTTCTTCTTCTGGAACCCCTATAATTCGAATGTTGGTGCGTTTAATGTTGTCCCAGAGGTCTCTGAGACTGTCCTCAGTTCTTTTCATTCTTTTTTCTTTATTCTGCTCTGCAGTAGTTATTTCCACTATTTTATCTTCCAGGTCACTTATCCGTTCTTCTGCCTCATTTATTCTGCTATTGATCCCATCTAGAGTATTTTTCATTTCATTTATTGTGTTGTTCATCATTGTCTGTTTCATCTTTATTTCTTCTAGTTCCTTGTTAACTGTTTCTTGCATTTTGTCTATTCTGTTTCCAAGATTTTGGATCATTTTTGCTATCATTATTCTGAATTCTTTTTCAGGTAGACTTCCTATTTCCTCTTCATTTGTTAGGTCTGGTGGGTTTTTATCTTGCTCCTTCATCTGCTGTGTGTTTTTCTGTCTTCTCATTTTGCTTATCTTACTGTGTTTGGGGTCTCCTTTTTGCAGGCTGCAGGTTCATAGTTCCCGTTGTTTTTGGTGTCTGTCCCCAGTGGCTAAGGTTGGTTCAGTGGGTTGTGTAGGCTTCCTGGTGGAGGGGACTAGTGCCTGTGTTCTGGTGGATCAGGCCTGATCTTGTCTTTCTGATAGGCAGGTCCACGTCTGGTGGTGTGTTTTGGGGTGTCTTTGGACTTATTATGTTAGGCAGCCTCTCTGCTAATGGTTGGGGTTGTGTTCCTGTCTTGCTAGTTGTTTGGCATAGGATGTCCAGCACTGTAGCTTGCTGGTCGTTGAGTGAAGCTGGGTGCTGGTGTTGAGATGGAGATCTTTGGGAGATTTTCGCCGTTTGATATTATGTGGAGCTGGGAAGTCTCTTGTGGACCAGTGTCCTGAAGTTGGCGCTCCCACCTCAGAGGCACAGCACTGACTCCTGGCTGCAGCACCAAGTGCCTTTCATCCACACGGCTCAGAATAAAAGGGAGAAAAAGTAGAAAGAAGGAATTAGTAGAAGTAGAAAGAAAGAAAGAGAGGGAAGGAGTGAGGAAGGAGGGAAGGAAGGAAAAAAGGAAGAAGATAAAGTAAAATAAAATAAAGTAAGATAAAATATAATAATGTTATTGAAATAAAAAATAATTATTAAGAGAAAAAAAAACGGACGGATAGAACCCTAGGACAAATGGTGGAAGCAAAGCTATACAGACAAAATCTCACACAGAAGCATACACATACTCACAAAAAGAGGAAAAGGGGGAAAAAAATCATGAATCTTGCTCTCAAAGTCCACCTCCTTAATTTGGGATGATTCGTTGTCTATTCATATATTCTACAGATGCAGGGTACATCAAGTTGATTGTGGAGCTTTAATCTGCTGCTTCTGAGGCTGCTAGGAGAGATTTCCCTTTCTCTTCTTTGTTCTCACAGCTCCCAGGGGCTCAGCTTTGGATTTGGCCCCCGTCTGCGTGTAGGTCGCAGGAGGGCGTCTCTTCTTCACTCAGACAGGACGGGGTTAAAGGATGCGCTGATTTGGGGGCTCTGGTTCACTCAGGCCGGGGATGGGGAGGGAGGGGCACGGAGTGCGGGGCGAGGCTGCGGCGGCAGAGGCCGGCGGGATGTTGCACCAGCCTGAGGCGTGCCATGCGTTCTCCCGGGGAAGTTGTCCCTGGATCCCGGGACCCTGGCAGTGGCGGGCTGCACAGGCTCCCCGGAAAGGGGGTGGATAGTGACACTCAGGCTCGCACACAGGCTTTTTGGTGGCAGCAGCAGCAGCCTTAGCATCTCATGCCCGTCTCTGGGGTCCGCGCTTTTAGCCGCGGCTCGCACCCGTCTCTGGAGCTCCTTTAAGCAGCGTTCTTAATCCCCTGTCCTCGCGCATCAGGAAGCAAAGAGGGAAGAAAAAGTCTCTTGCCTCTTCGGCGGGTCCAGACTTTTCCCCGGACTCCCTTCCCGGCCAGGCGTGGCGCACTAACCCCCTGCAGGCTGTGTTCACGCCGCCAACCCTAGTCCTCTCCCTGTGCTCCGACAGAAGCCGGAGCCTCAGCTGCCAGCCCCGCCCGCCCTGGCGGGTGAGCAGACAAGCCTCTCGGGCTGGTGAGTGCCGGTCGGCACCGATCCTCTGTGCGGGAATCTCTCCGCTTTGCCTCCCGCACCCCTGCTGCTGTGCTCTCCTTCGCGGCTCCGAAGCTTTCCCCCTCCGCCACTCGCAGTCTCCACCCGTGAAGGGGCTTCCTAGTGTGTGGAAACCTTTCCTCCTTCACAGCTCCTTCCCACTGGTGCAGGTCCCGTCCCTATCGTTTTGTCTCTGTTTATTCTTTTTTCTTTTGCCAGACCCAGGTACGTGGGGGTTTCTTGCCTTTTGGGAGATCTGAGGTCTTCTGCCAGCGTTCAGTAGGTGTTCTGTAGTTGTTCCACGTGTAGATGTATTTCTGGTGCATCTGTGGGGAGGAAGGTGATCTCCGCGTCTTACTCTAACGCCATCTTCCCGGAAGCCCTCCATAGGCCTTCTTAAAAAAAAAAAAAAAAAAGGGGCCCCATCTTTTCTGCTCCCATCAAAGGTTTCAGGTTCTTTGTAGTTACAGTCTTAATACTCTGCCTTCTGATACTTACCTAGTCATGGCAGGAGCATCTACTCAAAGCAGGTGCCTGATTCAGCAGCACCTGCCTCCTATAGCATTGAGAATTTGTGTTCTCAGACAGTGGCAACTCGCTTTAGCAACTACTAGTAATAATGGGTTTGTTTCTCTTCTGGATGCCTGAACTTACAGTCCATTTTCTGAAAGTCACCCATTGTGTTATACAGGAGTATGTATTTTGTTACACTTCTCACATTCATGAATTAAACCAACCCCTCACAAACTAGCATGGGTTACATGAAGGAAGATGTGTGTATGTTCATACAGCTAAGCTACATGCTACATGTTTTGTGTTCTTAATCCCATGCATTTAAAACGTGTATTTTGGGGGGACTTCCCTGGTGGTCCAGTGGTTAAGACTCTGTACTTCCAATGTAGGGGGAGTGGGTTTGATCCCTGGTCGGAGAACTAAGATCCCACGTGCCGCACAGTGTGGCCAAAAACAAACAAAAAAATGTATTTTTTGAATGGTAAAATGAACTTTTAAAAATAAAATTTAAAGTATATTAACCATACTAATACTTTTTTCATGCAGAATTATCATACTATGCAGAGAAAAGACGTCATTACTCACAAACCATTTGGAATTGAGGGAAACCATCAAAATACAAGAGGCTTTAGAAGAACTTTTAAGGTAGAGTGTTATTCTCCATCTAATTCTAGCTTTGGGTTTTTGCTTTGAACATAATGTTCTAAGTGTTAGTAAATTAAAAGCTCTTTTTGTTATATTTCAAATAGTAGCTTTAAATTAGTATTTCTGGATTATAGTTAACTGTAATCAGGTTAATGATGACCCCTTTCCTCAGGATTTGATTTTCAAATATTTTTTTTACCAGTGGAATCCTTTTTCAAATATTACATGGAAACTCAAATACATAAAACAGTTCCAGATGGAGTGGCTCTAGGTGGAGAGGTGGGCAAGGTCCCAGACCTTCCCTTTAAGCCTGCCTCTTTACCTCTAAGATGTAAGCGCATAGCTATAGAGCCTACTCCAGGATTCAGTGATTGAAAAACCCTGCCCATAGACACACAACCTTCAGAGGCCTTCTGGATCATCAGAGAAAGACTCTGGTCCAACATGCTTTGTTAAAGCATATTTCATCACATTCTAATTATTTGTACAGCTGTGTCTGATGTCAGTGATACTTTTAATCAGTGAACATGTTTGTTTTTCCAGAACACTTCATCCCCCAAACATATGGAATAAGAATTATAGTGCCAAGTATTATGTTTCTCTCTCCTTGCTCTCATAAATTGAGGTGCTTTTTAAATCCATTTTGACTGAATTTCGTGCTTATGATAGGTCCTTTTTTCATATTTTTCCACTCTACAGTGTCTCTTTCCCCTCCCCCCAAAAAGAAAAGAACCTGTTTGGGTTTTTTTTTTGTATTATTTATTTATTGTTAAACCTTTTTATTTATTATTATTATTTATTTTTTTTTTTTTGGCTGCCTTGGGTCTTTGTTGCTGTGCGCAGGGTTTCTCTGGTTGCGGCGAGCGGGGGCTACTCTTCACTGCGGTGCACAGGGTGTGTGGGCTTCTCACTGCGGTGGCTTCTCTTGAGACGCACGGGCCCTAGGCGCACAGGCTCAGTAGTTGTGGTTCGCAGGCCTCAGTAGTTGTGGCTCACGGCCTCTAGAGTGCAGGCTCAGTAGTTGTGGCGCACGGGCTTAGTTGCTCCGCGGCATGTGGGATCTTCCCGGACCAGGACTCAAACGCGTGTACCCTGCATTGGCAGGCGGACTCTTAACCATTGTGCCACCAGGGAAGCCCAAGAACCTGAGGGTTTTTTTTGGTGAAAGTAGCAGGCAGTCTGGCTAGAATAGTTAGCTCATTAGGAGGAGGTTAGTATGAGCAGAAAGGTAGTATAAATGATCTCCAAACCATAGACTAGGAGTGTACTTGAGTGATATTCTGTTAATACCTTGGCTTCCTGAGTCAAAATTCTTGATGTCAAAAGATCTTTTTCAGGGAATTCCCTGGCCGTCTAGTGGTTAGGACTCCACCCTTTCACTGTGTGGGCCCCAGGTTCAATCCCTGGTCAGGGAACTAAGATCCCACAAGCCGCGCGGTGGGGCCAAAAAAAAAAAAAAAAAAAAAAAAATTTTTTTT